ATAATAAATAAAAGTATTTTTTTTTTGTTCTGTTGTTTTTCAATTTTTTATTTATTTATGTATGGAAGTATCGAATCAAATTTTAATAAAACTGGCGTTTTTTGTTTTTGGTGTTAATCGTTCTTTTTAGGAGGAGCACCAGAAGGTCCTGCAGGAACTGGAAAAACGGAAACTACTAAAGATCTTGCAAAGGCAGTTGCAAAACAGTGCGTGGTTTTCAACTGTTCAGATGGTTTAGATTATATTGCTTTGGGAAAATTCTTTAAGGTTGGCTCACTTATTCATCATTGATTGTTACTTCTGAGGAATAATTTTTCATTTATTCTTAGCTAATTTATCGTTTTTCGTTTTCTAAAAACAACATGAAAACATATAAGTAATCATCAGAAACATTAACTATGAAAAATTTACTCATATGGGTGCACATACGAGGGCGGTTCAATAAGTACCCGTGTTAGAAATGAAGACACCATTTTTTTCAAAAAATTTTTTTTTATTTTTCAACATGGTCCCCTTTTAGAAAGATACACTTCTCCCAACGTCCCTGCTATTTTTTTAACCTNTTTATAGAATAAATTCATTAAGCACCTATTATCATATTTAGGAAAAAGAAACCAAATTCTATAACGAAAGGTTACCCTTAAACTTTATATTTAATTAAATGATATAATACGACCATAAAAACTATGATCACTATGGAAATTCTACCTCATACGAATCCATAACTGTGTTAACTCGTTTACCACGTTATTGTTAGGCAGAAACTCAAAAACATTTATTATTTTCCTAAATTATTGTCTCAGGAAATTGCGTTTGGTGGATGTGGAGAAATTAAAAAGTTACGAAGCACCCTATGAATTAGCAAACTTCCAGTGGGTCGTTGAAAAACACATCGCCAGCGCTCAGAAGATATTGCTTGAATCGTATTATAAGGAAGTACTAGAAATAATTAGAATAGGTAAAAGGAAAAACCAACTTCCAGACATTACGAATTCGAAAAAGAGAAGAAAATTCTTTGCTTGTATTGCCACTTTAATGGAAAACCAATTGCAGTCTTTATGTTTAAAATCACTGTACGACTTTCACGAGTACATAATCGACGTGGAAGTAAGTGAAACTATTTCACTCACTTAATTTGAAATGCATGTAATTAAACTTTATTTTCCAGTATTCTAATACAGGATTTTCGATAAATGTAGCACAGAAAATTGACGGTTTAAATTTTGAACCGCAATTTAAAAATTTTGGTGATGTACTTAAAAAACTATTAACTGCACTGGAACAGGCAGTGACGGTTATCCCAAGAATTGAAGCAGAATTATATCCAGAATACACATACGAAAAGGAATTCCTTACTGTGAGTCCCGTTTATAGGTTTTAAATACCTACCTAATAATTTCAACTAAATTCAGTCGAAGTTTTTAACGGGATATTTTATCATTTTTTCAATTTGATTTTGTTAAAAGTTTAATTAGCTTTCTGTTTATTACAGCCCATCATTCTTCCAGAGATTCAAGTGAGATATAAGGAAAGCTTTCGCATACTTTTAGATGAGCAACGAATTTGTCCAGAATTGCGCCTTCAGGATTTTGATGAACATCTTCATCTAATTAACGGAGAAGTATTAAAAAGCAGCTAATTTACTCCAAACACCTTCATTGATTGTCCTTTAGGAATATTATAGAAAGAATCTTGTTCTTTTTTTTTCTATATACAACCGTAGAATAAGTCATAATTTTTTTTCTTATTCAGTTTTTCCCAATGTCAAAGCCCTATTGATAGTATAAGGGTGTTTTTGTTTACTTTGTAAAGAAACGTTATGTTCCCTTTAGTGTTCAATAAGTTTTTAATTTATCCAAATTTTAGGCAGACAAAAATGTAGCAGATTTCATGGCCGAGGAGCATACATTAGAAGAGTACATTGAAAAGGTAAAATATTACTTAGCCATTTATGATGCAGTACCAATAGTCATGGAACATACCGTTCGTATGGGGATGTATGATGTTCATAGGTATGATTTGATAAAATCAATTGCACTAAGTGCAGACCAATGTAAAGAACAATTATTAGCCCGAGTGGTTCAAGATTATCAAACGCTTTGTAAACAGTAAGTTGTCAATGTTTGTATACTAAATGCACATTTAATAAAATTGAATTTAAAAAATAGTACTGTAAAATTTACATAAGTTTCCACACTAGCCGAAACTAATACAATTTAAAATCATAACAGTTCTAAATAAATGATTCACTTATCCATTATTCGAAGGCTGTTCTCAACAAAAACTCAGTTTAAATATCTTATTAGAAAATTGTAATGCACTAAAGGTTATTAATTTTGTTTAATGTTTAGATTGGGGGATGATTATCAATTAACGTCTGATACTGCACTAAAAGAACCTGCAAATACACATAAACTAATGGAATTAATTGCATATGTGAATAATGTTGAACAAGTTGAGTTATACGAAATGGAAGATCGTTTGAGGGAAATAATGCGATACATGTTAATTCTACCCACCTACCATCCATACCATGTGTTAGAAATAAAACAGAATTGTAACACTTTTCTCTGGTAGATACCCATACCTATCTTTTCATATTACAAATCATTTTCTTTTGTATTAATACAATTGAACGGAAAGGAAAAAAACATTATGTTAAAAAAGTTTGGAGGGCCACTTCAACTAAAGTATCATTATTTATTTTTTGGAAAACATAGTTTTTGAAATAAAATTCCAAAAAAATCAGTACTTAGTAATATCTATGGAAACTAAACTTTGCCTAAAAAATCACTTTTTTAATAAAGCAGTTTGTTCTTTTTTGTTTAATCTTGGATTTACATCAATTTTATTTAGTATTGTTAAAAATTTTTGAAAAATCGATGTCGTTCTCGCTGCGAGATTACTTTTCAAAATATCTGCATTCGCAACAAATGAATAATATCGCATAATTTTCAACAAATAATTAAACTAAATCTGTGTAAAATAGCCATTTATTGCTAGGTATTTGCGAATGCCTTTGGTTATTAGAGAAAGTAGAAATTTAATAAAAAGAAAGACCGAAGAATTTAAAGAATCTTTAGCACGACGGATACAATTATTCGTTGAAGATCTTGATTTATACTCTAAACTGGTGAATTCGTTGCAATATAAAGGCGATGTAAATTACATCTACAAGTATCATAAGAAAGCCATAAAATTAGATGAAAGGTAACTTTACTGGATAATTTCTAAACAAAATGTTGCCACTTTAGTTTTTCTTTTGTCATCAGATTAATTAAAGCTATGACAACAATAGACGAGTTTAATGCCGAAGAGAGGGCTTACGGATTTGAAGAATCGTTTTATCCGATAAGGAAAATAACTCATGATAAATTAGGTCCGTATAAAAAGTTATACGATAATTCTGTGGACTATTTAAACAAATACGACAAATGGATGAATTCAAGGATTGGAACTAGTGATCCGGAAGAAATTGAGTCTGAAGTAACTCAGATTTACAGGAATATTTATAAACTAGAGAAGACATTTCAAGACCGACCCGCTACTTATGAACTTGCACTAACTGTAATATCCTTCTTAAAAAATGAATTATAAACTCGATAAATTTAAATGTATTCATATATATATGTAGGTACGAACGCAAATTGAGAAATTTAAGGAAAATATGCCCATGATACAATCTCTAGGAAACCCAGGCCTGAAACCAAGACATTGGGAGAAAATTTCCGAAATAGTCGGGTTTCCAATTATTCTTGATGATGATCTTACGTTGGGAAAAGTTTTAGATTACGGGTTGGAAGATTATCTAGATAAATTTGAAGCTATTTCTGAAGCAGCAACCAAGGAAAACAATTTGGAAAAAGGACTTAAGAAAATGAAAATAGAATGGGCAGACGTCAGCTTCAGTGTTCTTGAATACAAGTTGGACTATAAAATTCTGTAGTCGGCTATCAATCAAACTTTTTGTAATTTGCAGGGATACTGGAACGTACATAATATCAGCAATAGACGATATTCAAGTACAACTCGATGATCACCTTATTAAGACACAAACAATGAAGAACTCACCCTACATAAAGCCGTTTGAGAAAGAAATAACGTAATTATTCTTTTATCATCATTTGACATATCGTTTTCAATGATTTCTAATTAGTAGCTTCTAATTTTTTTTACAGAGAATGGGAAGAGAAACTTGTTCTCCTTCAAGAAATAATAGACGAATGGTTAAAAGTGCAAAGTACCTGGATGTATTTGGAACCCATTTTCTCTTCACCCGATATTCAACAACAAATGCCAGAAGAAGGGCGAAAATTCAGTGCCATGGATAAGGTATGATGAGAACTACCTACATATTAATCTACCTGATTGATTATCCATGTTTCTTATGCTATTCAAACTAATGATAAAATTATTTTAATCTAATACATCGATATAGTGAATATATACTCTTCTACGTAGATGCTTGATTACTTAAGCACAGGACTGTTAAAAATTTTTACCACATTTAACTTACCAATTAATAAGACAATGTCACCTTACGGAATTATTTCTTCTCCTAGAGTTGGAGGGAAATAATGAAAGCTGTTGAAAGTGATCCTAAAGTAATGGAGGTGGTTGAAATTGATAAAATGTTGGAAAAATTACAAAAGTGTACCGCCTTGCTGGATGCCGTTCAACGTGGTCTGAACAACTACTTGGAAAAGAAGCGCCTTTATTTCCCAAGGTTCTTCTTCCTGTCTAATGATGAACTACTGGAAATATTATCAGAAACTAAGGACCCTACACGGTACTTGTCATTGATATTTAAATAGAATTTCAGGTTCGGAGGTCTAATAAGGAGAAATATATCCAGGGATAAGCACTTTTTACAATATTATGCGGATAATCAGGAAAAGAAGACATCAAGTTCGATGAGTAAAATTAAAAAACAAACATCTCCAAAAAAGAATAGATTCCTTATTTATTACAAACACATACAAAGGAATCATATTATTACAATGGTCACAAGCCAAAATAACTTATAACACGCTACTGAAGTGAAACTTCTTCAAACACACAAACAAACCGGGATAGGGGTTAAGGAATTGGTTTAATGGTATTATTTGTACACTATGCTTCGCACGGGTGCAATGCTGATAGTAAATATACTATAGAATATCTTTATATACAACAATCACAGCTTTTTTGTCATTAGACAATACAAACCGGCCGGTACCGCCGCAACCGCTATGT